ACACGCAGTAATACTCTGTTATATGAAATTGTTCAAAGTTAAATTGTAAAGTACTGATGTTCTTATACACAGTTCTTATTTAATAATATACACTGCCACACAATTCCTGTGTAAACACATGTTTAAAAACACAACTACTCCTCCTATATACCCATTCATGCATGATAATTTTCAAAGTAAATTGTAAAGTACTGATGTTTTTATACACGTACTTATACTGGCTACACTATCATACCATGCCTGTGTAAACACATGTTTCAAACACACTACTCCTACTCATGAGTTTACATAGCAGTTATATGTGACCGTGCACGCAAAAACCAACCTTACGCCGCAATGTTAAATTTTCAAGTACGCGTGAATATAACGCCTACACCAACCGGTATAAGCAAAACCACTTTTTTGCCTATAATAAGCTTCCCATCAGAGCTACCTACTGGTACCTTTCCTGCCTCCTAGGACGCTTCTCGCCAGAAAGAAGCTATTTCTCTGTAGCGGTAGTCAGTGACGGAGCAGCGGACACGGACGCTCACGGCGGGGTGTACGGAAATCTTGTACACACCCTTTTTCCCCGCGAAACTAGGCAACAAAGATGCAGCGACTACCAGTCACTTTCCTTTACTCCACACACGGGCACGAAGGTTCCTGAAGAACTTGGAGTGGTTGCTGAGTAGATCATCTAAGCTGCCGCCTTAAAATACGACAGCCTAAGTGTTCACGGCTCAAGAAGACGGGAGCCGGCAGCTGGCTAAGCTGGCCTGTTAACTGTCTAGTTTAGAATCTAGAACCAGCATCAATAGCACACACGGGCCGGAGGTTTTCACGGTAAACACGATCGAACGACCTGTCTAACATGAGTGACAGCACGGTACATGCAGCTGACGCAAAGAAAGTCAAAGCGATACCTCACTTACACCAAGATCTGCCACGACAGGTTCGGCCTGAAGTCTATTCAGCCCGGTAGGGCCGATAGAAGCGTTCGTCTGCTGTCAAACTGCTCGCTTACACCGCATCTCTCTGGTTGCCAAAAAGTTCCCGGGAAAAATCCCGTAACGTGACGTCATATTCGTGGGCGGACAAGAATACGGAAAAATTTCATTCCACTATTTCGCGTTTTGTATAACCCCGCGTGGCCCGCGTTTGAAAAATCGTAACTTTTGAAGGGTTTTCCCCAAAATATACAAAAATAAGCGGTGTATCAAGCACATTTCAAGCTTTACAACGATACAAAAAACGCTACTTCACAAAAATGCGGCGTAAGGTTGGTTTTTGCGTGCACGGTCACATATCTTTATTCAGTGTTTGTCAGGGCTCTCCTATGCACTTTGTGTGCATTTTTGTAGGAGTTTAGTAACCAGTGTCTGGGAGAAATGTCTGCGATTTTAGCGCTATTTGTTTCCTTACTAATTGGACAAGGCTTTTCTCAGTGTTTCACTAACACAGACTGTACTGGAGGATTGGTAGAGGCAGCAGATCAACGAGCCTGTTGTGTGGGAACAGATGATGGGCTTTCTTTCAACGATGGCACCACCTGTACTCTCTGTATAGGTATGTCAGTTGTAGCTCGAGACTTAGTCCTGGCATCATGAGGGCTTTGGCAACATACAGTGCATGGGTTCCGGCAGAGTAAGTATGATGTGGAAGAGAACGAGAGACTGGGCACAAGGTTTCAACTCAATGTAAAGGGAACAACACAGTTTGGTGGTGCTCTTGTTGTCACTGGTCTCATTACAGCTGCAGCAGATGGCACTGCAAGTAAGCTTCATGTGTAGCAATTAGCTTTACCTGCACATGTTTAACATCTGCAGGTACCTCAGACTTTGAAAGGCTGGCACCAATCAGAGTAACAAATGCAGAGATTCGTCTGTTCGCTGCCAATGATGATATCACTCTGGAGTATGACGACAGAGTGCTACTGAGGTTCACTCCTGATATTCCTGATCTTATTCCTGGTTTAGAGGCTAATGGAGAGTATATCAGAGACACTGCAACAGTCAATATCATTGACAAAGATTGTAAGTGCTCTGCCATGAGTAAGTGTTTACCCTTTACGCATTTATAAAACAGTGCTGGAGATTAATTTTGGAGATGTAGTCCAAGAGGGTTCTACAGTGCAGAGTTCACTAATCACTTTCCAGTTTAGGACAAATCAGAATCCATTCAATATAACACTCAGTCCTGTCACTGTGGACACAGCTGAGTCTATGGGTTTGGGATTTTTCATTAATTCTGCCAGTATTCCACCGGGATCAAGAGCTACAGCAGGTATCAGAATATTGTTGAAAGCATTACAAAATATATTCAAAACTTTGCGTGTGAGTGCAAATTAGCACATTGATGGGGTACCTCACCAGATTATTGAAAACTTAATGGCCTAGGAATAAGAAATAATTACAATTTTTAGTAAAATTATTCAGGAGTTCGGGCGTGCATTAAAAAGAAGTCGCACATGTGCATGTGTTGTACCGTGTTAGTTTGACAATTTATTGGGCCCAAAAAATTCCTACATGTCCTGTTCCATGTAAATTTAGCTGACATGCCTGAACATGCCTAAATATTATTTTTATTGTTCCTAGGCATGAAGTTTAAAAATGTAGCTACCCCTTGACATAACGGTAATCTAGATTTCTGAGAAAGATGACTATATAACCATTCTCTCTCTTTCCACCCCATAATTATGTTTTCAGTTACTGATTTCAGTGACCAGCCAATCACAGTTGAAGTTCCCGCCCATTCTCGAACCTTCAGAGTAACAGAGTTCTTCACAATTGTCGATGATGATATTGATGAGGATGAACAAAGTTTTGCAATAGTTGCTGAGATAGGACCAGATGTTCCTGAGAATATCGGCTGTTTTCAAACTGGATTAAAAGATGCAGAGTGTCATGGACGACGAGGAGCGACTGAGATTAGAATTACTGACAATGACCGTGAGCTGTTTACTTATGGTATTTGTTGCATAATAATTGTGGCCATTTTTGCAGCAATGATCATTGGATTCACTGAGAGATTTCGGACTGTATCAGAAGGTCAAGTACCTGGGGTGGACTTATTCCAACTCATAATAAATGTAGCCAGTGCAAGGACTGCTGAGCGGGAGCATCCAATGGTATTCCGACTTCTAGAATCCATATCACTAATGCCACAGTAGAGACACTAATAGCATCTAGCCCAGTCTTTGATGCCACATTTGGTCTCAGAGCAAACCCCGATGACCCCATGAGGAGACAAGGGGACCCTACATCCAGGATCGCTGACAGTGACACCTACACTGCTAACAGCTATTAGAAATGACTTGATGCCTGAGGACACAGAATGTTATACTATACGTATATTCCCTGTTGATGTTCCTGGTCGCCGTGAGCTGTTTACGTGCAATGAAGATGGAGCAGGTGCAGACAATTATTTCTGTGAACACACCATCTGCATAGAAGATGATGATGGTGAGTCCTTTGCCAATGGCTATTAAATAGTCATGTGAATGCTTAAATTAATTGGTGTAGAGCCATTTGTTGTGGCATTTGTGAAGACAACATACACTGTTGATGAGAGTGTGGGTGCAGTGAATGTGTGCGTCAATCTCACACAACCAGCAAATTGACATTCTTGAACACACTGTCAATGTGTTTGTCATTGATTACTACAGTTCAGTTTACATCCCAGCTGGTGCTCCACTAGCAAGTAAGCCATCAGAATGCATAGCTGTGTCATAGCAATATTACTATCATTCCCAGCCCCTGATATACCTGACTTTCTCAGTCGGTATCACATGATCGAAGGCTCAGACTATGTCCCAGCAGACTAGTGCTGTCAATGCCATTGATGATACCTTGATAAGTGAAATACGGAGGATAGTGTGTTATAATCAGACAATTTATGATGACCAGCGTGTGGAGTTGGATGAGTATGCAGGTCTCACCCTTGGAATTAAAGATAATCGATTGACAACAGTTAAAACACGAGTAAAGCCAGAATATGACCAGGCTGCAATCTTACTTATAGACAATGACAGTAAGTTTTTTACACTTCCAAAATTATACATTATTTACGGCTTTTATGATTATGCAGGAGCAGATTTAGGCTAGAGTTAACATCTGTTACTGTCTCAGAGAGTGCTGGCAGTGTGGAGCTCTGTGTTGCTGTATTCAGTCCCACCATACAATGTCCAATACAGTTTCCCTTTGCTATCTTTCTCACAGTGTCCAATAGGAGTACAGGTACGAAACAACTGTATAATGTTTACTGGAGTGTATAAACTTACCGCTTTATTTATTATTTTATATAGCTGGCCAAACTGATTACAGTAATTCTACTGAGATATCATTTGAAGCCTGTGAGACACGAAAGTGTGTTGATGTGGATTATTCAATCAATGAAGGCGATGAGACACTTTATATGACCCTCGCTATGATGCCATACCTAAACAATAAAATTGGACTTCATCCTCGAGCTGCAGAACTCAAGATAAACAGTAACTTGCTGGTAATACTTGTTTTATCTATAAATAGATATAACTATTTGTATCTAAACAGGTTGCTAGCCACCTGACCACATTTTTTTGATATCAGTGTTGATATCTTCATGGCTTGAATGCTACTATGCCAAGGAGCATAAAAGTAATTTTTGGAGTTTTTCAGACTGTGTTTATTCACGAGCTCAGATCCCAGTGGAAAAAAGCGCATTTATCGCTCACACATCCTAGTATAATATGCGGTTCGTTTGACAGATCGTTGGTTGTAAAAATATCCCTGCACATCCTGTTCCATGTTCATGACATGCAAGTACAGAAAATCTAACTAACCATGTAGAAATTGCGCAAGTGTGGTTAAGTATAGTATAGCTCCCCCTTTTGTGAGATTCGTATAGCTACCTCATTTTAGATAGCCCAACAGTATAGATATTTGGCATTAGCCAACAGTAAACACCTAAATAATTATATTAAATGTGCAGCACGCCTAGACCTCTTAGATATTTACAAATCAGGGACATTTCTAATGAGTATGAGCTTTTATCTCACTCTTATCACTCCCAGACCCCCTACAAGTGGAAATAGACTCATCATATTCAGGTGTGGCGGGGGCTGGAAATCCCACTCTCACCTGCACTGTTTCTGTAACGGAAGCAGAGAGAGCAACAGTTATTTTCCCATCTGCTCTCTGGCTGAGATATTCCACTCTTTCAGTCATCCCAGAAGATGATAGCTCTGTTTTTACTACGACAACTAGAAATGCTACAACTGCTACCACCATTATCTCCTTCTCTTTACTTTACACCTCCCATGCTGGACCGTACACTTGTCGAGTTAGTGCATTGAATGCTGATCCCTCCTATTCATCTCCAATCACTCTCACTGTCAAATGTAAGGAGAATTGATCATAGTTTTTGTGTCTGATGGTACCTTGCAAACCCCATACAGTGCCCACCCCAACTGTAAACCTAAGTCAAGATGCGAGTGGTTTACTCTATGAAGGAAGTGCTGTGACGTTGACCTGCACTGCCACCCTACCTCCTTCAGTAGACACTGATGTGAATGTTACTGTACAGTGGACACTAGCTATCTCCAGTGACAGAGTCTCCATATCCCCACCCTCTAGTTCAAGATCTCCATTTACCTCAACACTGACTATCAGTCCACTGGCCATTGCTGATACCGGCCAGTACTACTGTGAGGTCACTGTCCACTCATCATCTCAATACATTGTAGCCAGTGATCCTGGAATAAGTTCACTGCTTACTCTGATGGTTGAAACTGTGGAGCAAAACCTGAATAACACTGGTAAAATCCTTTTACTGTGACCTTCATCATAACCTATACTTTAGCTTTCCACTTTGAGCTAATCCTGGGACTGGTTCTAAATAATTATTTCAACTAACACACATGTCTCGTACCTCTGCAACACATTCTGGCGTCAATATAAGTACAATCCGTGTAAGTGTGCACTGAAGCAAACACGCTTTACGTTCTTCCTCCGCATCTCTTGTTGAGATGGATGATCTCTATAGTATAGCGGGGTATGTATAATTACTTTATTTTCTCAAAAATCTCACCCTTAGCAGCACCAGAAACTGCATGGTATGTATACAGAAAGTACTTGTTAGCTTATACACCACTTCCTTTAGCTCCATCAGGCCATCCAGCTAATAATCATCACACCCTCTAGCCACTCTTACTACAGTTGTTCTCGGTGGCGAACAAGGTTCTACATCTTCTACTCTTACTATTGGAGTGGTGCGTAGTCGTTGCCCTTTTTTATAATAGCCAGCATTATCCTCTCATTATCGTTGTGTTTGTCCTAAGGTGCCGTCACTCAAACACG